GCCGGTCGCTGAACACACCGCTCACAATCCAGAGAAAAGCACTCGGAGTTGTGGGACGCTTTACTTACCTTGGGGGTTGTATTCGTGTGACAGGGGACGACAATGCTCAAACCTCCAGTGTTCGGGTTGCATTTACTATTTCGAGATACCTATGGTGTCAAAGTGACACATCTCTGAATCTCAAGGGACTTGTTTACAAGGCCACTTAGAGTACGGGCTGTTTTGTTGTGCGGCTCTAGGGCGTGATCTCTGCGAACAGCAGGGTTGAAACGATCGCTGTCTCTGCCGGCGAATCCGCAACAAGACAATGGGAAAGTGAGGGTTCGGTTTCGCAACAGTGAATGATATATCCGGTAGAACAAACTGCGTTAGTTTGGTCGCGCCAACCTGTATTTTGCCTAAAAGGGCGCTATATTCAATGTCCAAATCTGCGTGGCAAAAGCGGAGTGGTAGTCAACTTTTGACAGACGGATGTGAAAGTGACTACGAAAGGTTTGGGCACTGTCATGATGGGGACCGCAAGACCCTCACTGCTGCTGATTGAAGACGATGCAATATATGGCTGCTATTTGATGTCACTAACGTTCTTGTTGTCAGCTTCTATCCAGATTACCTAAGTGAGTGTCTGTCTGGAGGTGTAGGCACCTCAGAATGATTGTGGATGGCTAGCACTAAGTCCCTTTCCCACCCACATTTATTCTTTTCGTCAACAAAAGGCATTCAAATAGATTATGCTTGTACGGTGGCGGGTCATCAGGCTTTAATCGCTAATGTTATGCTATCGCTGATGATGATCAGGTGTGACAGCAAAGGCGCTGACTTCGACACCTTGAATCCAATCGCAATCATCCGCGAGTAAGTGGCTTTTGGTTTATTCATTGTTCTTTCATTCACGTGATCTACAATCGCAAATCCGATATCATGATGTGGGTTAGGTTTTATGTTGTTCCAGACCGGTAAAAAGTATAGACACAGCGAGCTGGATCCGACTGATTGCAGCGAGTTTATCGCATTTTACTTCTCAGACCCGCCTCCCCATCCTTACCTAAAAGTACACACGCTTCCCAGAAGACGTCTTCGGAACCCAGAAGTAGAGATTTATTTCGATATCCGGCCTCAAGCTTTCGAGAACAAGGTCTGGTCCTCCAGGCAGCTGGAAACGACGTAGAAAGGCACCGGAAGTGCCTCCTGAGCAGCACCGAGCACTTGATTCTTAAAATCCTTATTCCTCTGTGCAGTCAGTGCCATATGCAAGATGAAGATGGAGGGTTTTTGTCTTCTGAGCATAGAAGTGGAGACTTATTTCGATATCCGGCCGCAAGCTTTCGAATTCAATGTCTAGTCCACAAGGCAGCTGGAGGCGACGTAGAAAAGCACTGCAATTGCCTTTTGAGCAGCACCAAAACGCTCGATTCTTAAAATTATCTCGAAAATGTGCTGGCATTCAAAGTCAAAGTGTGGGCTGACCTTTTCTAACTCGTCCTTCATCGGGGGAAGGCAGCATCACTGCTTCCATAAATATGGAAAAATGGTATCCTGGAAGGAACATCGTGCTGTTTTTTCACTCCTGTTGCAACGAACAGTGCGACGCCTCCTTCAGCTCGTTTTGTGACTGCTACACTTTGGTCAGCTGCTGCCCAGCAGTGTGATCGGCTCGCACTTACATAGTGAGGCAGTATTATCACAGGGACCTATTTTGTATGCTCCTAGATGGGAAAGTACAGCACACTGACAACGAGTTCGCTTCCCTTACTCTTATTGTCTGTGATGATATCTCAAACCTTGGCTTCAGAGATCACCACCTCGTCGGCACGGCAAATTCCGTAGTAAACTGGCAGAAAATCCACTGTCTTAGTTCTTCCTTCCATGCGGTTCTTCAAAACTTCAAACTCTGTTAGGTTACGGTGAAACTCTTGACTGAAGCACCGGATACACTTAAGTTCTACGATCTGATGAATTGCGTATTTGGTAACACCAGATCTTAATGAGAAACTCGACGCGACTCAAAATAACAAGCGATAATGAAAAGAGAACATTGTCTGTGGCAATAAGATCAACAGTCTTGCCTAGTCACAAGGACCAAGCTGTACATAAGTCCCTTCAGTTCCAAAGCAACTCCGTTCAGCGTCTCCAAAATCTGACATCAGGTTTCTCGCAGAATGTGGACGTTTCGTTTCGTCTACTTGAATTCCTTGCCAAGAGGAAGGATTCCGGTAGAATTGATGAAATTTATTGGCGTTGTGCTCTGAAACACAGGAAAAAAATGGACAAAATATACAGTAAGGTAGCACATCTCCTATATGCAAACTTTGTTTACACGGGACAAACTGTTTACTCTCGCAATAATATCACTTCTGGTCACGGTAACCAATAAGAAGCCACTTTCGCCAACGCGTATGCGTCATGTTTCTTCGCTGGTCGAAAACTGTCACCTAGGTGGGGTAAGCGCTGAAATGAGGGTGTAATTGTTGCTCGTGATTTCCACCACCCGCGGATGAGTTTCGTTCAGTTAAATTCAAACCACTGCATCCAATGACTCATTCATTGGAACCGGATTGTCCACAGTTTGCGGAATTCGACCTCTAATCTCTGCTCATGACACAGTCTGCCAACCACATCCGCGATATCTGAGGTGTGTCGCTCATTGGACTATGGAGCCAGAGAGAAAATTCTACCCACTCAAATTCGGTTGGTTGACACTGTAGAGCACACTGGCAGGCAGTGTGGAACGCACGCTTCATCGTGAGTGGCCACTGGAGCACTACCGCCCGGTTCCGAATTTCGAAAACGCCTCCAATGGGTGGGTATCGTATCCTTTGAAGACCAGTGCCGTTGTGGCACGGCGCTTGTTCATAGGTTGGAACCTACATTCGTCGTTTGAGCTCACGGGAAAAGTGTGCGAATGTGTATACGTATCGTCAACTAACAAGCCAATAGGAATGGTCACACCAAACGACCAATGATCGTTCGAAGTTGACCTGGCCGATCAAATACTGTGGCGCAAACTGTAAGCGCAAACTGCCCAGCACAGCGAACCAACCAAGGGCTACCAATGTTTACACTAACGCACTACTCATAAGGTTGCTGAAACTTCTTCGACAGCACACGACCGGTTTCGCCCTTCTTGGGGCTCATCAGGTAGGCGCAGTCCCCGAGTTGCCCGAAACCTCATGATCTACTTGAAACCAAATTGCGCGAAACTAGTGATTACACTCACTTGCAAACAACTTTGGTTTCCAGGCAACTGAATTTGCTGTACCAAGCCTCCTCATGCTTGAGTTGGTACGATATTTGAGATATCGCGACACACGTGTATTACGTATATACATGTATCGCGATATTTCGAATAGCATACCAAATGAAACATGAGGCGGCCTGATGCAGCACATTCGGTTGCCTGGAAACATCATAAACGAAAAAATCAGCTGGCTACCAATGTTCCCTTCATGTGCGAAACGTCCTACCCTATCTAATGATCACCAGCCCTCATCATCTAAGTCACCAATTGCCATTCAGCTGAAGTTGAAAAGGGAAGGAGACAAAACACACTACTCACAAAGTTGCTGACAAATTTTGACAGTCCACCATTCGATTCGTCCTTCTTGGGCCCCAGGTTTTTGCCGGTCGATAACTATCGAGTTTTTGTAATTTGCTACATCTCATGTTCCGGTTACGTTGCGTTCGCTTCAGCCGTGTCACTTCCCCAATAACTGTGCTGTGGACGTATCCTGGGAGAGAATATCGTTGATGTCTGTTCCGCTCATGTGGCAGGAATCGCACCTACAACGATTACGAAATCAGGTGTTGTTGCTGTGACAGCCTACTAACACATATGGGATGACCACCGTGATGTTTCCTCTTTGGGAGTTAGTCAGCCGGTTGGTGAACCAGAATGTGAGTTCTATGGATTGATCTCCTAAACAGGAAATGCAGTAGAGGGAACTTCATGACATGCGAATTACTCATCTGACAGGGATCTTTCTCTCCACGAGATTTCCCCTCAGAGGAACTCATTTTAGGAGCATTCGAGCATAAGTTTCTCGGAACCGACAAAAATTGTTCACCATAGAGGACGAGGGTTACCGTTCTGGCAAGATACCTCTGAGGTGATGATTAGTCTCCCTGTTAGCACGCTGTTGAGCACATACGCACAACGTTGGAGGGAACACAACTTCATACGGAAAAACCTTGGATTCGTAGAACGGTGGTTCTTCAGGATTTCCTTACCTACCCGCACTTCACATCTGCGATTTCCGCTCAAATTACTTACAAACATTATCACGAATCTGACAAGAACGCATTTGTCATAGTTGTGTTGTCTGTTCATCTTTTCAGCTTCCATATTAAGTAGTATGTATAATTCCCCGCTCGGAACACAAGAAACACTCACGGTGAACGGTGAAACTGGTCCCTTCTAGAGGTGAATGACCTCTCCGTGGAGACCGACTTTTATCGTACCTTTCAGAGGATCATCTTTCTCGTCCATTAACCAAAGGTTGGGCGATTCCATGAAAATGCTCTCACTTGGGGAGGTCAGCTAATTTACAAGGTCGATTTGCACGTGATTTCATGCATGCTTCCACCAACAGAGAGAGAGAGAGGGCTTTTGTACCAACACAGACTCGAAGATCGGCGCACACAAAATGATGGGGTTGCAATAACCTGATAACCGGTTTACTCGTTTGTTTACACGCCTGCGACGTCTGTACCTCTTGTTTAAAACATAAACTATCTTGAAGCCAAGTGCGTTATCACCGTCATCCATATGGGATGGTGCACTACGTACAGTGCCCTCCCCCGTCGAAAATGCGTTTCTTGTGCACTCTGTAGTCCGTAGTGTTTCCCGTGATCTCTCGGACCAGTCCATTAGACCGGAGCAAACGCAATGCATGGTACGCGTATGGAACAGGGTCGTGTCGTGAAGTCACGTGAAGAACGGTCAACGTCAGCCAATCAGAGGAATGCAGTCTGTCCGGTCACACACAGAAAGTGCGTCATGAAGTCGTTGGGCTGCACTAGGCTACGGGACAACGGTGAATTGGCTTCAAAATGAGGGACAGACTGTCTCTGAAGAGAGGTGACCAGAAGAAGAGAGGTAGCTCTGTCACCATAATTGAATAACGCAAGTCTACTTGTGAGTAATGCCACCAATGGAGTTGAATCAGTGCCAGCACACACATCATAAGAACTTTTGTATCCCAACTATTGGTTGTGGGAAGTGTTCGTTTCGCGAAAATGATACTACAGGACACATGTATGTGCATAAAGCCTGGATTAAAACAAGACAGATGAGCGCAGATCATACTTCATGGCAAGAAAAACCTGGGCCTAACCGTATTGGACACTCTCAAACAGTTTTGAGACACTGTCTCAGTCATCACAGTAAAAAGTACGACTTTCTTGGAGGTCATGGCGCAAAGTAAACACAGGCCCATCGAAGCGGGGTGGGGACAGAAACTTGCATCTGGTAGTTTTGTAGTGTGAGCATCAACTGATAAAAATATTCCAGTGATTGAGAATGCCCCAGCTTTTACACTCAACGACAAAGCGGGTTGTCTAGATATCACCAAAACACTTAGACGAGTTAGCAACAGTGGAAATTCGATGGCCTCCGGTTCTGTGCTTCACGATAAAGTGCATCGAAGCGCCATGAATTTTTCATTGTCTATCTGCCGGTCATTTTTCTCATTTGCGCAAGTCCCATGCAGGTCTTGTCAGATCCATCAGCAAAGTAATTACTGACACAAATGATTGGTTGTCCATCCAGAGAGATCATATCCGGTCCCATTTCGAATAAGTTAGAAAAATCCCGTCAGTTTGTTTCCATTGTATCTGTGTGGAACATTTTAACGAAAGTACGGCTGGAGGGGTGTTCCCCGAGAGAGCGCATTTCCTACGAGAGCGCGAATTTGGCCAGTCCCGATGGTGTGGTCTGACTGCACTCTGTCGTATATGGTGATATATATTGGCATTAGGAAATTGTCCTCAGCTGGAATTCAGCTGTATCATACAACGCCCTTGAAACTATCGGCTTAGTTTTATTCAGAAAAACGAGGGGCTGTTGGACTTTCGTTACTGGGACTCGAAGAATCGAATCGAGGAGGGTAGTTTATTAGTTCAAACTGTCTTACGTGTGTTCCTAGCTTGAGTCCAGCTCATGCGTCAACCCTGGACGAATAGGCCCGCGTGACCCAGTACGTCAGGCCACGAATGACGAATAATTAGGTAATCTGAGTTCGAATTCCAATGGACGTTTTTTGGTTGATGTTCGTTAGGGGGTCAGATAGTTCTACCAAACTGCTTGGCCAGTCTGAGTAGACGTGTCGAGGGGACAATATAAATGCCACAAAGGAGCGCGAAAACTTATGCTTACCAACGAGTGTTTTAATGTTCTCATTGTACCCACTGTATTCTGCCGGCATTACTGCCTGCAATCCGGGTATCCTCTCATACGCTTTCCGCATGCTGTTCTTCGTGTGTATAATCTTGAAAGAAGAATGAAAAAACAACCAATCGGGGCAAAGTTATTCCATAAAATCAGGTGATGAAAAACAAAAAGCATTCGTCTGGACCGTACACATGGTACTGGATAACTGTCGGGACCATGAGACCAGCTTCTCTTCTCCGTCTCTTCCTATCTCACCTCGCGCTGATGGACAGACTTTCAGAGACTAAAGTTTGCTGCCTTATTTCGTCCCGTTATTGACTGATCATACATAATTGTCCATTCAACGGCCAGTGGGTCTGGCTCATGTTCCTTTGCTAATCTCATCCAAAACTAGTCTAGCATATAATGACAGACAAACTTCAACTGGGCAGTCCCACCAGGCTTGGTCACGTGCCATGTCCAAAACGTTTTCTAACAAGCACGAATTCATTCATCTGTAACACCCCTTCGGTGCTTAACTGCCATGCCACCCGAAGGAAGCATGAGGGCTGGGATACTGCCAGGTTGCTCAACCCTAGACAGAGGAAGTCGAGAAGCAGAGGGGGTCGGGTTCGAACCACGGACCTTCCGCTCTAACCACTTGGTCCATCTCGCCCCCGCACAAGCGCAAATTAGGTAATGCACTATAAAATCTATTTCGAATATGAATAAAAACATAAAAATGTCCACAGCAGTACGAAATTCACGGAGCTCAGAATTTTGATAGTTAATTCCGATTAGCGGATCCACCCGTCTGGAGCATCAACAATGAAGCGTATGTAAGGTATCTGAAAGTACCTTCTTAGGTCCTTTGTCGATAGAGCATACGCACACTATTTTCAAGATTGAGGCTAGTGGTCAAGTTTACAGCACACTTGCACGGATTCGAATCCGAGTCGTCGAGACGGAAGTCTTCGATTTGAACTATTTGGTTGACGGAAACCTGGGGATTGCGCCTACCTGATGAGCCCCAAAAGAGGCGAAATCGGTCGTGTGCTGTCGATGGATTTTCAGGAACCTTGTGAGTAGTACAGTACAAAAGCATTCTTAGCTGTCCTTACGGGTACTCCACCGGCAGTGATCGGATGTCATATGACAGAGGTCACGCCATAGTGAACCACAGATTCGTCAAAAGAAAACCCTGTATTTTCCGGCAGCCCGATTCGCTTAGAACGATGGTCGGGCCATAAACATAAAAATATCTGCGCAAGACTCCATGAACTTTCTCCGCTTGCCATCGTTGACCCTAATCGACTAAATACAACCAAGGGGAAATTGCAGTTCCGCGGTATCCAACTCGGGTGTGTTACGACTCATTGGAGGCGCTCAAATAGTTTTTTGGTCTAACACTGAGAGTTGCAAGTGTTGACAAAATTCTCTGTGCGGTCTGCATTGGAACCCCCTATTGGCTTGTAGATTTTGTCATGTAAGTGAAATCAACCTAGGCCGAACAGCTGAGAAGCACTTTATAACTGTCTCATTCTTATTGACAATCTTGAGCAATGTGCATCTCACGAGTCTTCACGGAGATTCGAAACCGCGATCCCCCTGTCAGTGACTAAACACCGAATCGTCCAGCCACTAGCAGCTGATATTTGGTTTGTTTGCAACCTCTCCTGAACATATTGATTGAAATAATTCCCAAGCTCCGTACAGATTTGCAAGCCCTGGAGGTACAGTTATTCCACTGGGGTATGAGTTTCCACATCAACCCAAGTCATTGATCTGCTTTAAACAATCCTGAATCTCGCAAGCTCTATCGGGTTTTCACGGGGGCAATTTTTGTTCAATTATTCACCGGGAACACTGTTCCAGTATTCGCGATTTGGGGGCTCGTGGTGGGTATAGCCCAAGAAGCCTATATGGTACATCATTCTGTCTGTCGTAACGCAGACGACGTGAGCTGTTCCCGAATGGCCGGATATGAGGAGTGATATGTGAACGCCACCCAGATGATCGTTCAGCTGTAGTACCCTTCGGTACCTAACTGCCATGTCACCCGAAGGTTGCATGAGGACTGGGCTACTGCCAGGTTGCCCAAGCCTAAACAGGGGAAGTCGAGACGCAGAGGTCCGGTTCGAACCACGGACCTTCCGATCAGTAAATTCGCGTTCTAACCACTTGGGCCATCTCGCATCCCCCCCAAAATGATACGTGGTAACCATCACATAGCAGTTGTTCAAACATCGTACACTCATACTAATCGGTACATGTGGTCCTAGTTGAGAATCTCCCTCGAGGAAACCACACTTTCCGACCTTACAAGCAAATAGGACAATACAAGCCACGTTTTTACAATAAAGCAGACTCCGAGACCGGTGAAGAACTTTGTGACCCTCAATTTCAAAGGCCACCCAACACAAAGACCGGGCTTTGAACAAGTCTACTGTTACATCAAATAAAGTATGAGTGCCTCTGACTAGGTCTATAGATGGTATCCCCAGTAGCACTACCAACTCGCTTTTCAGTCCAAACTTGTGTGTGATCTACCTGTTACGCCTTCTATGTTCCCATCCAGACCCAGGGCGCTCTAAATAACCTATAATCACACCGATTGGACGAGCCAGCCACGTATCATACGGAGACACCGATTGGCCAGAATGCGAGCCAATCAGGATCGAGTATTTTTTAGCTCGGCGCTTCTCGCAGCATCACAAGGATTTTAGTGTGGCCTTGCGGGAAATTCCATGATAATTCCATGATTACATTTGTGGCAATTTTTCTTAGTTTCCATAAAGCTTTTCCAAAGCTACTGGTCTTTTGATTACCCCATTAGGCGAAACAGGAGTCCAAGATCCGACATAAGGACTGTTATACCGCCCGAAATACATGACACCTCCCTAAATCATTACTGCATGCAATTTTATGCCACAAGAGAGTTTTAACATGCCGCAATAACATTAATGGGATATCATTTGGGCAAATGCCAGGGATACCATGAAATATCACATAACTCAGGCCACTCCACGAGAAGCATTACGAACCCCCAGAGAGATTGAATTCTTCTCAGCACTAGGAACGTGTTTTCATGGGCCAATAAAAGCAAAATTAATGACTCGTTGCATGCATGATTCGACTTCAAAGGAAAACAGACCAACTTACTTCGTTTCGGTGGTCACCAATATCAGTGATACTTGATACCTGAGCGACACTGTCTCAGTATTTTTGCGAACTAACCTCGTGTCAACGGAAATCGATATTATCCATGCTGTCTAAGAACGGAGTAGACTGACACAATTGGCGGCCTTTTTGGAAATCCGAGATTGGGCTTGTAACATCGTAAATCAGCTTCAATGATATCACAGTTCAGTAACTCGAAGGCTTCATCTGTGAATTTGTCAGTAGGCCGGAGCAAAATTGCCTCCGCTTTGTAAACACTTGTTGCAGATTAAACAATTCTGCAATTTTGTATCCTTGAGTCACGTGAAAAAAATCAAATGAATTTTCGTCAAAAAACTACTCCGAAGTGACCGAGTGAATTTGTTCTTCTCTGGGGTCGGACTCTTCTAGAATCTACCTAGTCGTCGGACGAACCACCACCATCCATCTGGATACAGCACACTCAAAAGAGGTCACTTTGAAGCGTACTCTAAGAGGCCTGTCTCCCTCTGGGAAACTAGTTTAAAGGACAGATCGAAAGTTGTCTTCTGTAGAGTTAGGAATTCACTACAGGAGTAGGTTTCAGTTGATCAGCGAAAAGTTTTTATTTCTGGAAGTTGGTTTCGGGGGATCAGATTCCTGAAAATAGCTTCAGAATTTCGGAGCGTACTAGGAGCCATCAGCGAAATCGCTTTATGAAGGCTGTCGAATCTCCCAGCCACTAATGCCACCTGCCAATTGGACACTGAAACAAGAAATCATTGAGGAAAGTCCACGATCGACGTCCATTCGCGGTTCAGAAGTGATACCAACCAATCGCTCGGCGCGGACCGGATGGTCTTGATTCAAGGTCAAAAATGGGCATTAAATGCAATGATCATCCCTCAGTTTTGCAATTTCCTGTTCGCAATAATGCTGTCGTGTTCTTGTTGGGTACGTCTTTTCCCGTCACCAAAGCTCTTGAGGCCGTGTTTGACATCAGTTGTGAAGAAGGGCTTCTACAAAGAAGCTAGCAATCCAGTGTACTTTGAGAAGAAACCGCTTTCAGTATACTCCAGAAGGAAGGTGGCACTGTGACCTCCAAAGGGGCACTCAGAGCTAGTCTTTCCAGTATTGGAGAATATATGTATCACGTGACGGCTGTTTGATTATGATATACTACAAGCGTAAGCAAAAACCGCTAGCTTTGAGTGATTGTGTTCTTGTTTGGAGATCCTGAATACATTTCTGTCTATTGAACAGTTCAACCGCTGATACATCACGCCTTCCAGATAACATTTCTGTCTATTGAACAGTTCAACCGCCGATACATCAGGCCCTCTAGATGGCATCTGCAGTGGCTGGTGACTGGATTCTCCGACAGGCCCATTGTCCGCAGATATTCGTGGCTCCTCTGGTCTCATACTTCTCATCACTGATCTCGTTGCCTTAAGCCTCATACATGTTGGAATTGAATGCGTCTCTAGAAAATTTGGCCACTCGTAGGTAGTCGGCGATGTTCGTGGTATGGTGATTTCAGTGTAGACATTTGGTCAGGACCTCTACCTCATCCCCACAAACACACCTTTGTGTATCAAAGCTGTTTCGTAAATTCGACCAACCCATTTCCTAACTGCTGAACGTATTAGCTTTTGATCAATAATCAAATTCGGGTTCTACTGCTTGTTCATATACATCCGGCTGCTTACATGTTTTGCTGATAATACGTCGACTCCCGATGGGTGGGGCTTCCCAAATATCGATTAGCACTTGTGGACTCTGTGGAACTGGCGACAGCCAGGCGTGACGAGTATTCACGTGTAGCCACTGAGGATGACTGCAAAAAAAGTAGTGTCCAGGTGAGCTTAGACCAGAGGCTGGATCCCGAGAAGTGTAGCCACATGGATGCTTTAGTCTTTATTGAGACGACCCAGATGGGCGCAGAGGAATCGGACCAAACTCGTGGCTTTGTATTTTGCAAGGATCGATGAGCAATCAGAGAAAAATTTCCGATTATCCATCAACAGTCGGATGAGCGTATGAATAACGTAACAGCTAGTAAGATCACGAATCACACATGAGTGCAGGATCCAGAAGTAACATCGCGATACTGGCGATCAAGGACCGAGTACCCGACTCTTCCATATCCTCTTAACGAGGCCCACCAGCGAGTAGAGCGCTGGAATTTGGGATCTGGTCATACTTTTTCATCAAGTGTTCAATTATATATAGGCCGTTCGAATGAACTTGCGTTCTTTTCAAGGCTAATCTGTCCTAGTTTTTACAATTTGTTATCGCCTCTGTGCACCTATATCCGTAAGCATTACATTGTGACAGCTGCTTCAAACAAACAGCTGTACTTACTTTATCCTTTCACCTTTCCAACATCGTCGAGGCTGGCGCGTGCGCTCACAATTTACGTAAACCTAAATCGCACATCGTTCTACCCGCGGACTGTGAGCCTGTCATTACCCACCTTAGACTTGCTCGTCAGCTTTCTCTTTGAACGTGCCTCCTTTTACACTACCACTGTATGTACTGGATGGCTATTGCTGAAAAATTCCTCTTGGATGCATAAATTCCCTTTGAGTCGACTGTGATTCAAGGAGCGACTGTCAAATTTTGACGGGCGGAAATTGTGCTACTACCACGCCCAAAGTAGTGTAACGCTACTTTGAAATTCAAGCCCCGAGGGACGTCAATGGGAAATAGTCTCACTTACACGCTCTCGAACTTTCGAACTCATCCAAATCTCCACGAATTTGAATATAATATCCATGACTTTCGGTTCATTATAGTAAATTACATGTCTAACACGAATTGGGTAGGCATCCTATAAACATACGTATAAAGTATATGTTGGGCTGGAAATCGACGGGAATTACCCTCCAAACTTTCGACTCCAGTCTCATTTCCTTCTGATTACTGCGCAAAACAAAGTGCTTTTTACCAACCCCTGTCAGGTCAAAAAAGAATATAAAACCAGCAATTTGTGAAACCGGATCCAACAAAAACCGGTCGACATCCATATAGCTGAAGCATCGCAAACTGGATGGATTGACAACATCCATGTTCCAGTTACCTAAAAAGGAAATATGGTAATACATTTGGAGTTGTATCTCAGTTACGAACTCACCTAACCGAATCAGAATCACAGACAGGCCTTCTGTAGTTCTTCCCAAGTCCAGCACTACGCTTTGGGAGGTGGAGGGAGGGTGCAACAAACAAGAGAATAGATATGAGTCGATGAACGTAACGGGGCTAGTCTTTGACAAGGTCAGTTCGCATCTGTCTGATTGGCTGAAGGAATATCTCATCCTGGACCTCGGTTATGCAAAAGAAACTACACTGCGCTGACTGCCCATTCCAACGATAACCAGCTGCTAGAACCTGTTTGCTTTTTGCGAGTTGGTGAGGATACCGAGGGTCATATTGTGTGCTTTCACGTGAAACCCCTTTTCACAAAGCACCTTCTACGAGTCCCAAAGGAAGCTATTTACTTAGTGTGGATGTATAGTCAAAGGGCAACAACGATCTATCTTTCTGAATCTATGCGGAAGTTTGTGCCCACATCTTTTTGAGATTTCCATCTCGTTCACGGCCATCCCCTGCAGGTATTTTTTCTTCTTTCTCAGGCTCAGAAAGTTCACTTTTTGACCAATCAGCTCTGTGACCAAATTTCAGACGTGATAAAGTGTAATTCGGTGGGTACTGCCACTGAGGTTCTAATAGGTGACTCGTTCGCCTCGTGGATGACCTCCTGAGACCCATTACTGAGTTATACAGTAGTTGCTATACAACACAACGACCGACTATCATTTCACTATCGTGGTAAATTTCAAGCCAAGTCACCCGGAGAGAACCACGATGATGTCCTAATAAACGCCCGCGAATTGAGGTTACTTCCTTTCCAAAAGCCACAATAGTGCTTCTAGTGGGTATGTAGTTTTCTTGAAGAGCAGTGACACTCTGAAGCTACAGTAGATGCTCTTCAAAGAGAAGATCAGCTGTTATTGGAAGCGTCTAGTGGGAGCTGCTTAACCGTCTCTGTGTGCGTCATAACTCTCTTTGACAATAGGAAGACTGTGTGTAGCACAACCAGGGCTTAACTCATTTTTGACCAAGGTGGCTACACTGGATCTATGCCGCTGGTTGGTCCCTATTTTCTGACTTTCTTAGCTTCTCCCAATTCCACGAGGGAAGGGGCCGTTAACCGCTCTCTAATAAGGTTCTTTTCTTGTGAAGTGGATGTTAGACGGCTCATTATGAAAGCGACATATCACGCTATCATCCTAAAGTGTGTCACTCACCATTGGTTTACGTTATAGCTCCTTTGGCATACTTTGAATGTGCATTTTCTCCAACCCGGTGGGCTGATCCAAACAGATGGTGTCATGCCTGACGGGAGACAGTCTTTGAAATCACCAGAGGGAATCTCATCCGTCCAAAGGGCTACATTACAAAACCGCATCGCGGTAGACTACTTTATGCCATGGTTTGGATACTACATACCGTATGACAAACGCCACAAGTTGGTTAGGCCCACTCATTGCAGAGTCCAGTTTGATGGCCCCAACCATCCGTTCAGGTGCGTGAGTGGAGCAATCTCACAGGAAGTTTCAATCAACTAACAAACCAAGGGAGCCTACAGCAAGTTACAAATCTACGCTGGAATACTATACACAGTTGTACTGGTTAGTCTGCGGGGCTTGACCGAACCGAACTTGAGGATGGTTGCGTGCATACACCGCAGTTTTAACTAACTTCAGTTCTACGTAACTAAATGTACAGGTGTGCCCTGTGAACGCTACGAATACACGTTCTACACACCTTCCAAAATCATCATCTGACAACTTGTATGAATTAACACAGATAGTGACACATGTATCTAAATAATTCACCAGTTATTTTCAAAAATGAAACCCAAAGATGTAGATCACTTGGAACAATAGGTTACCATCAAGGTCACAGGTTCACCACAGCGTCACATGATCAGAACCGTGTCCACAAAATTTTGGTATCAACACTTCCTGAGCATAAAGTGTTGGTTGGTAAACTCTGGTGAGTAAAGATCAATCGAAGGATAGGAATTACAAACTTCGGTGATGCGCTAACACGTAAACCGATTCACCTGGATGCCCCCCATTCCATGGGGGGCGAGATGGCTCAAGTGGTTAAAGCGCGGATTTACTGACCGGAAGGTCCGTGGTTCGAACCCGATATCTACTTCTCGACTTCCCCCGACTAGGCTCGAGCAACCTGGCAGTATCCCAACCCTCGTGCTCCCTTCGGCAAGGCATAGCAGTTAGGCATCGAAAGTGTGCTACAAGTGAACTCCATGGCAAGTTCGAAAAGGTTGTCTGACATTTGAAGATGCTAGTTCACGAGCTGTCGTCAGTACTGTGTCTTCGGCCACGCGTTCTGATGGTACATTTCCGTACTAGGGCAAGAGGAGTGACCAATTACACTCTGGCGCCACAGATGTCTGACAAGCTAATTTCGAAATGCGGTGAGCTGAACCGGATGTGGACCCGTGGACTCGCCTCAAGGTGGAAATCAAATTCTCCCTGGTGTCAGACGCCTATAACCGGTGGGAATAGACATAAGAGCTTTTTTGCAGAACGGTAGGCTACAGATTTTCAAGTACATCGTGAAGTTCGACCAATTTCAACGGCTGGATCAGTAAACGATCGTTTTCGTAAACTCGTCTTTCTCTTGCACAGACGTAATACGCTAATCATAAGATTTCTGAAAACTCTTCGACAGCCCGTGACCAGTTTCGCTCCTCAGATAGGCACGGTCGTCGAGTTTCCGTCAACAACCTTGTGTTCCACTTTAACCCAAAGTGCACGAAATTAGCGAATATACACTCACTTGCTAATTTGATGTATTTGGTTTCCAAGTAGAACATAACGTTGACGGAAACTCGGGGACTGCGCCTACCTGATGAGCCCCAAAAAGGGCTAACCGGTCGTGGGCTGTCGACGGATTTTCAGCAACCTTATGAGTAGTACATTACAAAGCTATACATGTATCCGGATATCTCGAATATCGTAGCGACTGAAACATGAGGCGGCCTGGTGCAGCACACTTAGTTGCCTGAGAACATCACAAACGAGAGATTCAGCTGGGTTCCAGGTGAGTCTCTCGAGAAACCAAATTAGTTTGCAAATGAGTGTATATACGTTGTTCTTACTTTTATCCCACCGGAATTCCTAGTTAATAGAACAATGCACCCATCACCACTGTATCGTGTGGGGACCGGATGACGCGGCCAGTGCATCAAACGGTTTGTGCGGCCCATGTAGGTCACCGGACATCTGCCATATTTTGTGATTAATTTTGCCGATTACCTGGACCACTGTATCAAGCGCACATCGATCGATCGCTCTTATCCCTCACCGCACGCATGACACACACACACACAGCTGTATCGTTTGAACCCGTCTGTGTTGCACTCTTGCCAAGCCGTCGATCAGACATACCAGCGCAATCACTTCGCACTGGGTGGACGTGACGGCAGCTCGAACTCAGCCAGCTGCATCCACAAGGCGTTGACTTCATCTGACTCCGGCCATCAACTGCCCAACCTGTGGCTCTAATGGAGTGTAACCTATCTTTGCTAAAAAGCCGGGAAGCAATACACAGCTGTTTCATCTTTACTGATAGTCATCATCAGTGCTTGAACCACGTGACTTCAGGGAGTCTCGAACCAGCAACCTCCCGGTCAGTCGTTTGAACACTTAGCCTTTCGACAATGTGACTCTGTCCATCTCAGCTTGATGTTCGCGCGTCCATTCCTATATTTTCATGTGTTTTGTCTCTCGAAGCAATATGCAGTACTAATATTCCATTTATTTTAATGAAACTAATTCATTGACCAACTGCTGGACAGTCGGGTGCAGTCCCCAAATAGTCGTCCACTTTGTGTTCTACTTGAACTCATATTTTGGTTTAAAAACAAACTGGTGTGTAAATGGGCGTATATCACCACCTTTGTACAATTTGGGTTCAAGTAGAACATGAGTTTGACGAACCTTTGCCGTCTTGTTATGGTGCCCGGGCTTCAGTGCTGCAATGATCCTGCGAACTACACTGGCTAGAAATCAGTTTTGTTTAGGTTCAGCCATGCTAGAAGAACAAACGGGATTGGACAACAACGAGTCCTTGTACTACAAGGAGTCGCTGTATAAAACGGTCTGGGGGTACTATTTGTATCGACAGGAGTGTAAGCGAGCCCAGTTTGTCACCTGAGCCGGTTTTTATAATGTAGTCAAGTGCGACTCAAAATGTAGCTGATGTGGGATGGAACATTAGGAGGCAGACAGCTATACTCTACCCACCACATCCTCGGGTTAGGACACCCGTCAACGGCTACTTATATCAGGCTGTCTGGTCGCTCGCCTCCATAAAACTACCTCATGATGATGATGACGATGATGAGGATGATGACGACGGTCGTGATGTCTGAGCTAACCTCACCTATTGCAGCTGACAGCAATGGCGTCAAAAATATATGTCAGTACTGGCCTACTGAAATGACTCTGGAAAACGGGTAAGGAGAGATAGAATAAGAGACACGTAAAAAACGTTTGAAAGGGCGGTGTGGGCGGTGGACGCTTTTCGCCTGATCTCCCTGCTGTATGCAGTAGATAAGGTGACGCGGCTGGTTATATTACCCGGCATGACAATATTGTTAGTTGTATCATGGTTTTATGTGGGCTGGGATACTCACACCTAAACAGAAGGACGTTTAGGTTCCCTCACCTAGACAGGAGGACGATTAGGGTCCTCAACCAAAGCCTTTGTCTCAAAAGCCTAACTGCAAGACAGCGGTGTTTGACCAGAAACGCGAGTACATCACAATCCTCAAAGAACAAATCGCCACACATGTTCTAACTTCCAACCTGGATGGCCAGGGGACTTTGTTGGTCAAATCTCTCTAACCAATGACCGACCTGGTATGATGGACTCTGCCAGTGTCGCTTGGACACTCCTCAGTGTAGCTCAGTGGGTCACAGGGTCAAACAAACTGTCACATCACTGTCAGGTCCAGTCTACTGGTGACGGTAATCCAAGGCCACTTGAGGTCACTAATCTTCGATAGATTTACAACCGTGATTATCGTACCCGATTGTTGTTCAACTGTTGCAAGTACAATCAGACGTTGTACAGTTTCGGAGACTCTATAAACACTAGTGCCATTCCCTCTGGCGGTAATTGCTGTGCGTACCACACCGGTGGAATTTGAACCCAACGAGAATTAAAACTCACTCCGTTTAGTTAAGTAGTCCGTTAGTGCATGAATAACTGCGATTTCGGCCCATCCATTTCGGGGCAAGATAGCCCAGACTTGGACAACTCTACTGACAATACTTTTGACGCCCGAGGGCCCATCGAAGTCAATCTGCCGTCACAACACTCTGGCTGCTACCTAAGAACAGAATGAGTTGCCCCGACAACAACCAATCAACCTTGTACTGAGACATGCATCCTATCAAACGCGAGACATACGAGACTAATTTTGACCGGCAGTGGTGTGTGGTGAGCTATTGAATCCCTAGAGGACAAGCCCCAACGATGTCCATCATTGCCGGTAGACGAAAAACCTGGTAAGCACTTTAACTAGCAGCTGAAATGTTGAAGTATCTTGGGTCCCCGTTTACTTTATACTTCAAAGAGTGATACGGCTTTGGAAGGATCTCCCGCAAGATGTAAAGTGTAGTGCGAAAATCGCAGTTACTTGGATATGCAACACACATTTTGCACAGTGCATCCATGCTCAACGTATGGATGGGATGAACAGTCGCCACACAGGCTGTCAGTTAATTTCTCGATTAGAAAGTCACTCCCAAGTCAGTGACCTTGTGGTTTGACCTTGGCTGGTTTGTAGACAACCACACTTGTACCTCCCGGTGGAACAACGACACATCCTCCTACTATTTTGGCCAATCCTGACAGGTCACGTGATTGAAAAAAAGCCAAACACTCACCCGGACTTGAGATAGTCATCCAAAAGTGGATCGTTCAGGGGTGGAAAGTCAAACCATCGTGGAGCCCCAAGCTCTTTGGACGCACGAATCGTGCAAAAATTGTCCAGGCGTTGTTGCGCCTTGGCATGATTGTATTTTGCGTAGCGAAGAAACGGAATCAGTAGGTGGTGTTCTGAAAAGAATATCAGAGGAGTAGGAAATGCTGACCGAAACTCAGGATGACCGATCAGTAAGATATGACCTTCATGGTTAAACGGGATTGGTTTAGCTTCTAATTGAGGGGGGAGTTCCCGCTGCTTGTCACGAGGCCTATTCAAGCCTCACATATGAGTAGCATCTTACACCGTCCCACCTTAAGATGCTGAACACAGGAAGCAATTCGATACAGACATCGTCAAAATCATATAACTGAGGTCACACACACTCAATGACCTTCACTACTGAAATGTCTCCAACCTGCAGGCGCAAACATGCACTGAGTAGAGTAGTACTCACACGGTTAACTGCGGTAGTTCTGCACAAAGCGCACTTTTGCAGCTAGTTTGAAGCTGGCGTGTAGAACGCTCCCAAACTTTGTACTGTCAAATGAAGCATTCTAAACAGTTTCGACATATCGTAGCAATTGTCAAGTGAATTGAGAGACTTGTTGACAATATTGGTTAATTTCCGGATTCTCCGAATAAAATGTGACCAGTTGTTGACTCATCATCACCGATTCATATGCTGAACAATGCCGAGTGGATGAAAATGGACGAAAGCCACTAATGCCAAGGTTTCTGTCATCTGCATCGATCTACACTCATCAGTGAGGTTTTGAGACATTATCAGACCCAGGGATTGGATGAAAATTACAGCGTTCGAAGCTGCAGCCTATCGATCGCGGTCAGGCTCATCCCATCCCGTGATAAGAGCTTGTGACCTTAAAGCGCTAACGCTTTTAAGGGCTGCTCTAACGTAAATAAGTCTCGATATTCATGTTTTTACCGTCACAGGGCCTTCGCAAATCGTTGTAACAAGATTCAAATCAGGCCCTTGGTTTCGTGGTCACAGAATCCTCTAGAAAACATACTATCTATTGATTGAGCAACTCCATAGTTGCAAAATCAATGCATGACCGTTTGTGATGGGTACGGCAATCGTTCTAGTCAAACACAAGCGCGCTGATGGTCGACACTGACCTGAAAATAGGATCGGAGGTCAATGATAGTGGAACTGGGACGAAACAGTCGATCACCACTGTTAGATGTCTAAGTCATCAGGAAAGAGATGGGGATTGTCGCAACCCAGTGATCGTATCAAGGCCTGCATCCAAACTCCACTCAGGAGAAATTAAACGCATTACAGCAATGCTGAACTGATAAAGAGAATATAATCTATTTACGGTATTACAGAACGGTAGATGTCCAAGCGATTCGACCAAACAAAGTTTGAACTGGAACTGAATGAAATAACACGACGCGGAAATCAGAAAAAAATGACCTATCCTTGATATTCATATAGAAAGAGCATGAAGGTCACACGTTTGACCTGAGAAATGGGTGAGTCCTGGTGTGCGGAACTTTAAGACAAGGAAAGCAATTTCTGGAAGCACAGCACTCCACAAACTTCCACGTTGAACTGGACCCATTCTACGCACCAGTACGCGCAAACGACCAGCAAATTAAATGGAGTCAACTATCGGACGAAACAAACAAAGAGAGAGAGAGAGAGGAATCCTGGAACTCATCAGTAATGGACACGGAACTCAATCCAACAACGACCAATGCACGGGAGCAGAAGAGACCGAGGTCAAAGATCATGGTACATCAACCAATGAGATCAACCAACGGGCCAACCAACAGAAACGCCCAGTCAAGCAGCCAATCTTTGGTGGAGGTCACTGTCGGCCAGCAGCACGTATATTACCACATGCGGCACAACCAACGTACCGCTAGGCTCCGCTCCCCAAAGACCCGTTGATGAAATCGCCTTGATTGGTCAGGAGAATTTGCAACCGGTCATGGACTGTCGAAGGGTTTTCAGCAACCCTATGAGTAGTTTCCTTTAAGAAAAAACTAACATCTTTCAATCAGCTAGAAGAGTCTCAAGTTTGTTGTCAAAACTCTGTTGAAAATCAGTAAGATAAAGCTTTCCATCAGGGCTAAAAATCCGCAAACAAAGCACAGACTCACCACATGGGAAAGTGATATGCGGTAACGATTTAATCCACCGTCGAAAACTCTCCACGTGTGCATCGATGTGCTCCGGTTGCTCTCGCAACTCTCGTTTCGCTTTTGCTTTCAAACTCGGCGACAGTAACTCACGCGATGATGAGGCCATAATCGATCAGACCGGGTGCAAACTGGAACAAGGTACTCAGTAAGCCACTCACGGGACTCTCGGACTCGATCGAGCCTGGGACATGCTCAATTTAAGAGCACATATATATATACATGCGTACTTAACCTAAGCTATGAAGGCAGCCTGAAAGATGCACTCTGTTCTCATCATGTGATACGAAAAGACACGTTATTTTAGTACCATATAACAATGGAATGTGCATACCTGCGGAGTAGACGAGCGCACACATCGGTCGAAACGCTGTGACCTTCGAAAGGCATTTGTTCTATACTACTTTTCGAATAGACCAGTAGTGTGCGATTTCCGCTCAAGGGAATTCTAAAATGCTGCTATCAGCGGTGCGAAACACGCGATTTGAACCAGCTGACGCCGATTAAAGCCCGCACATTCTGGTAAGATACGTGCATGTCGAGTGTGTCGAGTGGTGTTGAGTTTGCCGCGAGAAACTGGATGAATAAATACACAATTGTTCTCGAAATCTGGTAAAAAATGATTGGACGAATTTCAGTACAAATGCATAATCCTACAGTTTCTACTCGATGGAAGAAGCAAAATCTATCTTGAATGGCTCTGCATACTTGTTCGTGACGATAACTGTTGTCATCTATAAAGGATCCGGGAAGGTTTATGTATCCTGCCTGTCCTTGTATCAAAAATATCAGCGCGTTGCAGATTTCTGACCTGATTGAGTAGCTCAGCGAAGATGCGGGAACAGCTTTAAGGCAACGGTTGGTGAGTAACAAGAGTATAACAGCAGATATTCAGAGTAAGGGGAGGTATAAGCGACGCGGTCATCAGAGCATCAGCCGAGAGAATCACAAACGGCTCAGTTGTTGTCCGTTAGAAAGAAAGCGACAGTTGCATCAGTAGGGGAGTATGCAGAAAATGCAGGGCAGCGGAAGAAACACCTGGTTGACCGGACACGCGCCCGCTTCGAATCGAGCGGGTTAGACTGCTATCAGACCGAGGATCAGCGATTGCCTCCTGTCTGTGGTGGCCTCGTGAGCTGCAAACCTGACTACTTTGACCGTAGCTGAGACGGTGGACGGGGATGCCAACTAGGTTTGTGTGGTGAGATGGGACAGAGAGACAGATACAGGACTAGTAACATAGTGGTAGACGATATGCCTACGCTTAATCCATCAATTCGCACTTGACACCCAAACACAGCGAATAACAAATAGGGGAAACATCTGGTTACTTATAAGTAGTCGGTGAAAACTCAAAGTTTCATGGCCACGTCACACTGGTCATCAGGGGGTTGTAGAGATCGCAAGCTATCAACAAAACTTGAATGTGAATTCCCGGACGGAGAGAGGTATATGAGATAAAGTCTTTTTATTTTGAAGCATTACGAGAAGGGGGTCGGTCACAAGACCAAATAGCAAGTTTATCCAATCCAGTTTGTGATTGCAGGTGATTCCATTCACAATATCATCGGTGTGCTCAGACCTGCAGAACGGATTACGAACAGGTAGGTCATGGATGTACAGGACCAAACAGAAGTGGAAAATAACAGCTGGAATTCATCAGATAGGCAAATCCCAGAGTTTCCATCAACCTTGTGTTCCACTTGGAACCATATTCGACAGATTTCGACAGCTACTCTCATTTGCGTATGGAATTGGATCTGACAGCGGACTCAACTGAATCCGGCTGAATCCATCGTTTACAGTGGTCTGATTCGGCCGAATGTGCTGCATCGGGGTGCCTCATGCTTCAGTTCGTACGACGCTCGAGATATCGCGATACTTTGTTTGTCTGGGCGTGACACGCTACTTAAAAGGTTGCTGAAAACTCTTCGGCAGCCAGCGACCGATTTTGCCATTCTTTGTGGCCTAGTGTAGCACATCCAGTTGAAGTGGGCTTGTTTTATTTCACTCTCTTGTAGAAACCAAATTCGTATGTAACTGAAGGGCATTTATCGAATTTTAAATCCAGTTTACCACTTGTTCACTATGAATCTGTGAGCGGTGCCTTGAACAGAAAAAGACGTTTTCATAAAGAAAACTACTCACAGGGTTGCTGAAAACTCTTCGACAGCCCACGACCGGTTTCGCCCTTCTTGGGGCTCATCAGGT